AAAAAAAATCATCATTGAGCGAAGCACCATTTAGGTACCTGCAGTAAACTGGCACGCAGAGTAGTCGCAGGAATTAACAAATAGGCGATAATAATAGCAGTGACGGGGGTGGAGAATAATCCATAAATTATTGTGAAAATGGATAACAGGAAATAATTATTGGGTGAAAATGATAGTAATAAAAGAAAAATACAAGTACTCCGATTTACCGCGCTGATGGATGGAGACTTGGCAAAATAATTTGACCTGTTCCACTGCGATGTCATTAATTTTCAGCCGTAATTATATATGGGCAAACAACCAAGTGCTTGCCGAGCAATGAACTACACATGGTAGTGAAACAAGTGTGTGTGTGAGCATCGAGTGGAAATATATGGGCCGACAATCCCGGTCAATGACACCACCTGCGGTACCGCGGTAGCACAATGGCATTCGAAGGAATTTGTAAAAAAAGAAGCAGCAAGATGGCGTTGCTGGCACTGTTGTAATAAGCACGGCATAACACACAATAACGGTACTGCTGTGGCGGTGATGGTGTGTAAGGGCGAAAAGGCAAAGTATGTCAGGTAGTAGAAATACGGAAATGGTTCCGCCATCGTAGCAGTTCTGAGACAGCGTCACGTTCGGCGGTACATTGGTTGCGGTGGTTCCACTTCTTCCAGGGCCCATGGAGGCCATCGAAAGCTCAGACAGCAACAACGTAACTTGTAATATTTTTGCTCCATTTCAGGCCCATACCGCATATTACCACCACCACGTGCAATCGTTCGACCCCGCATGGTACCGGAACCTACTTCTGGCATAGTTGCTGCGGTTGGCCCATAAAATTCTTGTTGATGGCTGGAACTGCCTCCACCACCACGGTAGTAATTGGCTGAGGTAGCACCTTGATCAACACCAAATTCAACCTCCTCCCGCGCCACTATACCGCCTGGGTAATCATTTCTGTAACGTAGCATCGATTCGTTTCGCTGTACCGTGGTGCTATTTTGAGGTGCCATGGTAGCACCACTGGTGCCGGAGTGACGCTGG